CAGATGAAGCTGTTTCCCTCTGACCAAAGGTCGTAGCCTGCTGTTGCCCTCGAGCAATGAGGATTTGCACCAACCCAACTCTCTAAATCCTAGAAAAAACACTGTACACACTTGGGACATATTGCAATACAAACAAATGGAGGCACTGCTCACACATCATTGAAAAAATGACGCAGTAATGACGGGGAAATATACATTTTCTTCGTAATTTATTTTTTAATGATATTTTCAAATTCGCAAAAACTAATTTAAGAAAAACGCGATGGCAGTGAGTGATACCGTGACAAGCTCTGGTCTTCCTGCCAATTTATACAACTTTGAATGTTATAAGAATTGTCATAATCTGACACAAGGGTTAAAAATCACCAGATTGTTGGTTTTACTGGTCCATAAGTCTATTTGATACTGAGATGTGGACATTTCCTCCTACAGACTGGTGTCCTCCAAAGGTTTCAAAGCACCTTGGTGGTTGCAGAGCACAACAATGAAAAGTTGACACCTATTACACTCAATGCCATCACTGCTGCCAGTAAGCTGGGTGGAGATGTGTCCTGTCTTGTTGCTGGAACAAACTGTGCACAGGTAGGCAGAGCTTTTTAGATTCAACTGTTATTTTGTCAATCTTGTACTGCATATAGCTAATATAGATAAATAAAAACACCGTATGAATGTATACAATGCATTCTTAATGTTGGAGCAATATGTTTAATGGAAGAACATCCGTTGTTTTTGTCTTCTCAGGTTGTAGAGCAAATCAGAAAAGTACAAGGTGTGAATAAGGTTCTGGTTGCTCAACATGATTCTTACAAAGGTTCCCTGCCAGGTATGTGACACTCAAGATAATTGACGCCTTTTGTAATTGAACTTAACTAGCAACAAGGAACTGTATATTTGCACAGTCCCACATATTTTCACAGCTGGTTCATGTAGTGCTCAAGGAAGCATTGGAGGTTTGTTTGTGTACTGTGTTCAAGTTGTCTAGAACTAGCTTAGCAAAAACCATGCATGACTTTTTTTTAAATTTTTTTTATTGTTTGCCTCAGAGGAGCTGACTCCACTTATCCTGGAAACTCAAAAGCAATTCAAATTCACCCACATCTGTGCTGGTGCATCTGCCTTTGGAAAGGTAGGTAATAGAGAGGGAGTCCTGCACAAATTGTAGATGTTGGAATTACAACCTTATGTTTTCACCACATAATTATCTTGGCAATACCTTGTTTTATAGTGCATTTTTGACTTTTGTAACTATTTAAGAGATTGCAGATTATTTAGCATCTTATTTGTGTATTTACATGATACCAATATTCAATTTGCTGATAGCAGAATTATTGTCAGTATCCTTTATGTTGCCACACCCTCAGTCACAGTATAGTATGTCATATAAAGTAATGATACTCTGACAATATTTCATAGTGTAGTATAAAAAGTTATAGTATGTCAAGTCATTGTAACACATAAAAAGTCATAGTATAGTATCCTGACATAAATAAAATATGAATTAATTTTGTCACAGCCTCTGCAAGATAAGTGTTTTTGTTTTTAAATTAAGGTTAATCTTTGCATTTTTAATTCCCCCAGAACCTGCTTCCCAGAGTGGCTGCCAAGTTGGATGTATCTCCAGTTTCAGATATTATTGAGATAAAGTCTCCGGACACTTTTGTCAGAACAATCTATGCTGGTAAGCGTTTTTTTCCCCCTAATGATAAAGTAAAGTAGCCAACCTTTACGTCAGAAGACGTCTTAAATCATGGTACCTGAATAAAGTACAACTTTGATGTGGTGCAGATAAACACAGCAGATTTTTTGCAACTGGAATGTCTGCTGGAAAGTTTATAGTAATCATTTCTCTCCTTTTCAAAAGTTAATCATATTTTGATTGTGTAGGAAATGCTCTCAGCACTGTGAAATGTAACGAGTCGGTCAAGATCTTCACGGTCAGAGGCACGTCCTTTGAGGCGGCTGCCACCGAGGGAGGAAGTGCTGCATCAGAAGACGGTACGATAGCTTACAGATTCATCCAGAAAGCTCACAGTGTATGCAAAGAAATGAATGTATTATTGTTGTTGTTTTTTATCATAACAAAAAAGATCAATATACATTTAACAAAAAACAACCACAAAAGTTATTTTTTCTTCATTTTAATGCAATGATCATCCTTGTTGTTTGTGGTCCTCATTACTTGGCTGTAGTTGCTTCTTCTTCTCCTGCTGGAGTGTCTGAGTGGCTGGAACAGAGTCTGACAAAGAGCGACCGCCCAGATCTGACCAGCGCTAAGGTCGTGGTGTCAGGAGGTGAGACCTCTTTCGTCTTCTGAATTACAACTTGAGGCCAACACAATGCTACCTTTCATGTGTGTTGTTGTCTTTTGTTGTGAATTATTTTGTGTGCTCTGTCAGTTCTCCTTTGCTAGGTGGTATAATGGTGTTTTCTCTTCGTAGGAAGAGGCTTGAAGAGCGGAGACAACTTCCAGCTGCTTTATGACCTTGCAGACAAGATGAATGCTGCAGGTAAAATGGAATTTCATTTTCTTTTTCATTAATCTATTTTTAATTTGTATTTATACTCATGAAGAGTTCAAATTGCATGTATTATTTTTGTAGTTGGTGCATCCAGAGCAGCAGTGGATGCTGGTTATGTCCCCAATGACATGCAGGTTGGACAGACAGGCAAGATAGTAGCACCTGTAAGTTTATTTGTTTTTCTGAAGTGAATGACTAATGAAACATTTTTTTAAAAAGCATTGTTTAACGGCAGGAAACACTTTGACTCGGATCAGAGTGGACAGGTCTGTCACGTTTGACAAATACCTGTTTACGATTACACAGAATGGTTGCAATCCAGTATGATACGGTTAGCTGCTCGGCCGTTTCTAAAAAGGTTAACTTCCCATTATGGGATTCGGCCGGGTTACCTCAGCTGTAATTATCCACACATTAGCCTCGGTAAAATGTACTCGATGGCACATTTGGGGCCTAAATGATTTAGCTGTTCCATTAAAGCCGAGTGCACTTGATGTCTGGGCATCGCGTCCGGCCGGTCCGGACTGATGGTCCAAATTAGATTTTCCAAATGTTATGACTAGCTCGTTGAATTTGGCTAAGTTGATTAAATATGAGATATATTTTTATTATGTTGTGTATTGATTTGAAATAAAATATTTAGTATGTATACATGTAAGATATTCTTGTCTGCTGATTTATTTTCTATTTATCGTTTCAAAATGTAGTGGAAACATCAGAATGGGTGTCGTTCTAAAATGCTGGTCACTTACCATGTTCACTAGTAGAGTGATGATTCAGATATGAATTTATTGACTTTCCACAGACATGCAAATCTTATTTCAGAGGTTTATTTTGTAAAAAAAAAGAAAGAAAAAAAAAGACAAGTCTGCGTCTGCTCGTAGGTACACGCCCTCCGAAGGCCTGAGATTCTACATTGACAGTTGAGTAACTCTTTGTCCGGTCGTCTTCTGTTCGTGCCCTCAGGAGCTGTACATTGCTGTTGGCATCTCTGGAGCTATTCAGCACCTGGCTGGAATGAAAGATAGCAAGGTAAAGTCATCAGTGTCCTAAATTGTACCATGTCATTGATGTTTTGCATGTATGCATAATTGTTTTTGTGTTGATTGAATGATCATAGTTTTAAGCAAAAGACACTGGCAGTCAATCGTCTTTTACGGTTTGTTCATTGGTCCTCCTCATTTTCTATTTTTCTATTCAGGTTATCGTTGCTATCAACAAGGACCCGGAGGCTCCGATTTTCCAGGTGGCTGACTACGGCCTGGTCGCTGATCTGTTTAAGGTAGGTGGTTGGTAATGTTATGTCACCACGGCCGTAAATTAGGAAACAACCATCGTTCACCATCTGCTGGGTTGAGTCAGAGTCGGAGTCAAACATCTGCTCTCTCACTGATACATTTTGCAAGATGCCTGTTGAATTATTAAGTGCTTAAATTAATCAAAGGACAGTTGTGGCTGAGCTTGCCGGGAAGAAAGAAGCACAATAGCACATAAAAAGTGATTACGGGTCACTCGAAAGTGGCTTCACTCTTGTATAGACCTTCTACTTGCCAGGATTCTTACACGCCTAGTAGCTTTCTTGTATCTAGCTTCTTACACGCTTAGTTGCTTTCTTGTATCTGAAGCTGGTACTTGAGGAGTGCGAGCCAGGACTGTTGGCACAACTCTCACTGCAGTCCAGGCTAGTAGATTATAGTTTCACATGTTTTATTTAGCTCCTTCTGAGCAGCCCAGGTGTCCTAAAAAAACTAGTAGTAATAATAGCTTGTGGCAATAGAGTTGTGACCCGCAGGGTGAGATCACCTTACATGTGATGAGTCCTCGGATAGCTGATTAAATGGATGGGCTTTCTACTTTACCCCAGAAGGGACAATTGATACCTCAGGACAAATTTGGGCAGTGACTGATGATTCAGTTCTGAAGTGGCTGGGCCCCTAAGGATTGCCATCTGAAAGACTTATAATATATCTTCTTCAAAACTACACACACTGGCATCACCAGTGTGTTTATGGTCTTGATGCCTCTCCTTTTAAAATCTTGCTCTGCATCAGTCAACATTCTCATTTAAACAAACCAGCATGCGTGATGGTATAAAGTCAGTATAAAATGTAAATATTGTGTTCTCCTCAGGCGGTTCCCGAGATGACCAAAGCACTGGACAAGTGATAGAGACCACCGGGTCCCTCAGCCGCTGCCTCAACAAATACCTGAAGCTGTGTGCATGCAGAACTAATAACCTACATATTCTGACTGGAAATGGAAGATCTATGCCAGTTTCTCTAATACATGTACATTTGTACGTACCTGGTGGCGGTGTTTTATTTCTTTAGCCGTGTGGGAATTTGTATTGAATTTTCAGGCATCTCTGAAGGCCTGACTGGTCTCTGACCTGGTTGATTGTAATATGTTGCACCTTTATACCACCAAGTTCGCACTATACTCAGAAAAATATGTATTAGATTAAAAAACTAATGACTCTCATTTGACCATGTTTTTTTTTTTATTAGATTAATTTCGCAATGCCCTCTTTCCACAATCAAGATGGAAAATGTCTGTCAATGGGACAACAAACGGGGAAAATCTTGAATGTTCATGCTATATTTTACTTTAACATTTTAGTTAAATTCAGTATGCGTGGGACGTCATTTAGCAAAATCTTAAACCATTCCAGTCATTGCACCTGGATAAAGTCTGCCACACTCTACAGATACAAAATGTAACATTGCTTATATAGAAAGACAAAGATTGGAAATAAGTTGCGACTGATCCAATGTACCCTGCTGCAGTCCCATCGGGAAGGACCGTTATTGTGAGTTTAGTTTCTTTTGGTAAAATGTTTCAGAAAAAGTGTCAATTCCTGATAACAAATTAGCTTTCTCAAGTCTCTGCGTTTGTGCTGCTCTGGCATGTTCATCCTCTCGCGCTTATGTGCCGGCGGTTCCCGACAACACCAGAGCTTCGTAGAAGATCGTCCATCTTAAGAGTAAGTCCTGGGACGTCCACGTCTTCTACGTCTCTGCCAGCCGGTTGACCGGGACGTCGACGGGCTCCATCATCCTGTACTTCTCCTCCAGGAGGGGTTCTTCGCCCTGCAGGTGGATGAGCGGCTTGGAGTGCAGCCCGACCCTGCTCTCCTGGTTCCTCTTGTTGAAGATGTTCACCCGGTGCTCTGGGCTGGCCTTGGCCGAACCCGCCGGGCTCGGCGGCTTTAGGTTGACCGGGTCCAGGCCCTTCTGGGCGAGGTGGGTATTCTCGGAAAGCGTGGACAGCAGCTCCTGCATCACGGCGCAGGGCCCCCCCCGCTGGGCCTGAGCGCTGCCCAGCGCCAGCGGGCTGCTGTACGGCGGCGGGTAGCACCGCTGGTCGCTGTAGTCCGTGGAGGTGGAGGCCTCGCGCACCGTGGAGCTGCAGTCCGTGGTGGAGCCCAGCGTGTGGCTGCTGATGCTGTGCTGCCGGACGCTGAAGCTGCTGCGGGACGCCGGCGCGGCGGACGCCTCGCTGACGGAGCTGCCGGTGCGCCGCAAGCGACCGCACGACACTGCGTCCGCGCTCACCAGGGAGGAGGGAAGCTGGCTGGAGTTGTTGGGCAGGTGCACGTCTATGGCCGCTGTGGTGATGAGGACTCGCGCGGGGTCTGGGATCCCCATGTCTACAAGAGCAGAGCACAGTGCTGTGAGACTATGGCAGCGCGCCGTGGGAAAGGGGGGGCGGCGTCTATATGCTCACCGCTGCTCGGCTCACTGTAGTACTGGCTGATGTAGTTGTTCATGTCGTCCTGACCGTGGTGAACTGAAGAGTTAAAGAAGGGGACATGCGCCGTTATTTGTCTCAGAGGCGAGTCCAATGTTTGACAAGATACACAAGAAAAAAAAAGGGGAAACATTACTTCTTTTAGTGTATTTACTTACATTATTTTACACAATATACTTTAGTTAATAATTATATCTCCTCCATAAGTGGGGGTTGAGTTGTAAACACAATAATAGTATAACACTGGTGATATAGAATGTCATGGGAGAGATAATTAATGACAAATTCTCTATCTTAGAAAGGTTCTGACTACAACTATTCAGAATGTTGTATTAAACAATTGTTTTTGTCTACTTCTTAAAATTGCCATAGAGGGGACGTCTTGCAACCTTATTTTAGACATGCAGTTAATTCATATTTTTGTTTTACTTCATTTAAATAATCATCGCTGCCTGATCTTTGAAAGCTCAAGAGACTGAGGAGTGTGTCTTATTCAACAATAGTGGACATGATGTACTAAAGCTTAGATCCTCCCTGATGATGCAGAGAGCTCACTGATGCAATGACGTTGGGGGTTTCATATGATTACCTGCAGCCCCCCCGGGCTTTCTTGCAATGACTGGCCCGTGGTGGTCGGAGGTCCCGGAGGCCAACCCGTCCACCTCCTGGAAACTGCTCTGTTTGCCCCACATGTGGTGGATCTGCATGGCTGCTTCCCGCTCCGCTACCAGATCCAGGTCCTGCTGGGCCAGGTGGGCTCTCAGCTGCCGAATCTCGAACTGGAACAAAGAAAAGATGAATCTTATAAAAACACCGAAAAACTCATATTCTACTCACTAAAACCTTGTTTACTATTTTCCAATTTAGTAGATACACTTTCAGTCACACTTATGAAGTCAAAGTAAATAATATTAAAACATCAATTTGTGGACTAGGAAATGCACAGGGCTTGATACCCACAAGACTTCTAAATGTATTCTCTAATGATAAAATAATGTACCTTTTGTACACTTTTATGCCTTTGAGTACTTATTTTCTTGCACAGAGCTTTGCTGCCCTCTACTGATCACATGCAGCTACACATAGTGGACCTCTTATGGTAAAGACAGAAACACCATCCGCTGCTTATCATCTTGTCTCCTTAGAACACTGACCTGCCATATATAATATACATATATAATAATTTATAGCATGTATTGTAATATTACCATTCCATTATGTTTTTTCGGTATATGCAATAAAACAAATCTGTTTAGGCTTATGTCCCTCAAGGTAATACAAATATATAGTTTATTTTTAATCATTATTACAGGTCATCTCCAACCAATGACAGTTTATATTTTAATTATCTTAAAAGCTCCCCTCTAGATTCTCAAATCCTGAGATGCTGACAATTCCAAGTGGAAAATCCAAGTCAGCGCTCAGTTTTTTGAGGGGCAGATCCAATTAAAGTCTCAAGTCACAGCGTGTGCAGTGTGACTGCGGTCCACGTTTCTGCTGTAAGGTCAAACATGTGAGAAAGACGAGATGACGTACTGCCTGCTCCTGGCAGATCTGGGTGAGACGGTCCAGCTGTTCTTCCCTCATCGCCTTCGCCTTCTCAGACTGCTGGATCTCCATCTCCATCTCGACCTTCACTTGCAACACATAGGCTAAAAGAACAGGGTATGTTATAGTCTTCAAAAGACATTTAGTCATTTCAACTGAAATCTACATTAACTGAAATAATTTCCCCTTCAAAAGTGCAGATAGTGTATTTTTTGCAAACACTTTTATTGAAATCTCCAAGTCAATCATATTCACGTGCACATGACAAAGGACCTTCCCTAACATATTGTACACAAGGTGGACAATGCAACAGCAAGTTGTGACACTTCTGTTAAATGTTGGGAACTTTAAAGCAATAGTTTATGCGGGTGTTTTAGTGCTTTGTGTTGACAATGTGTCACGGTTTTAAACATGTACTAACCACATGGGGGAGCCACGCTGTTGAGAAAGCATTCCTTCTAACATATAATAAAAAGTATTTGAATGTAACAGCTCTTTGAGACTTGAGCTGTGGGTTCACTACACAGACAATGTACTTTCTGGTGAAACATAAAAGGACAAAAAGACAAATAATCAAGCAAACAACCTCAATATTGAATGGAGCCGAGCACGCTGCAGTATGTATCCGTGTGACCTGACAGTAAAGGACGGGATGCAAAGGACATCAGCCGCTCCTGGTCCTCACCATCAATGATCCTCTTGACCCTCCAGATGCGCAGTGTGATGATGAGACCGATGGCGTCCCAGGGGCTGCTGGGGCCGTTTGCCACCGTGGAGGCCACCATGGGGGCCAGAGACAGGACGATGACAGCTCCATCAAACACCTGAGAAAAGCGCGCACACGCACACGCACACACACACACACACACACACACACACACACACACACACACACACACACAGCAGCTGTTGGCTCGGTGGCTTCCACAGGGGTCTGACATTGAGGGAATGACACTGCGGTGAAAGGAGCGCGGGGGTAACGCGACTAATGGGACCCGTGGGAGCTTACCTCTACTTTGTTCTCTATGTAGTCCCATATCCCCAACACCACAATCCTGAACACCGTCTGAGACCGTCCGAGAGACAGAGGGACAGAGGGACAGATAGCAGGTCACACACAGGGTGAGAGGGAAGAAAACAATGACAGCTAAACAGAGTGAGCCCGGTGGTGTACGCTGAGCATTTACTGGGTACTAATTCACAAACAATTAACCTTGATAGTCCCAGTAAGATGCATTTGCACTTGAGACTTATTCCATCAACAACATCATATTGATGAAAATCACAGGCAGCGTGGCAGCAATTAGGCTGCAGAGAGCAAACAAAATGATTTTGTTGCAGTTCCTCTTCCCCCAGCATCCATCCTTGTTTCAGATACTCATGGTTTGCATTTACGCAGAAACCGGCCTACCTGCAGCCTCTACTCATTTGGTGGATCCATAGGCGGGGAGGTGCTGGGAAAGGCTGCTTATTGATGAATAAAACTCTATGAAAGTTGGCTTCGCGGTGGTCAAGTGAAGGAAAGTAAGAGAAATGTGGGCGACCGTAAAGAAAATGGTAATCAATGCGACGCACCTGAGGCCTAGAAGTGCTTTAAAACCAGCAGAACAGAAACGCTCCATGTGCGTGTGTGTTGTGTATCAATTGAACAGCGCGGGAGGGAACAACTGTTCCAGCATAAACTACAGTTATTTCATTTCTTTTTCAGTTGCACACAACTTTACTTTTACTCATCAAAATGTAATCAAGCACAGAGGACATGGGAGGGGGAAGCGGGGGAGTGGGTTAAGGGGGTGAGTGCTGTTAATACTCTAATGAGGATGTGTCAGTGTACCTCGTCGGCTCTCAATACTGCATAACGTAGCATTAATCAGCAGGTCGCCGCATCAGCCGTAAGTGACACTGTGTTTGTGTTGAGCCGGAGGAAGACAGAGACTCACCTCAGCGAAGAACACAGAGAGAATAGCCAGGCTGATCCAGTGGATGATGCTTGCAATGTGGAATGCATTATTAACTGGAGGAATAAAACACGGAAAAACTAAATTATTTTTAAGGACAGTTAGGTGGTAAGAAATGTATGTTTTCTATTTCGTTGGTGTTTCTAACAGCCTTTACCTGCTGCGTAACGCCCAACAAAGTACAGTAAACTCGAAGAAATGAGCAAATTCATGCACACACACACATATTTAAATACACAAATAGACACGCAAATCATTTACTGTACGTGCATGTGTCTGTTCCTTCCTGTCTATTAGTCGGGCCAAAGGTGGACAGCCTGAAACAGCACTCGGGTGTCAGCTGAGGCCTTTCTCTTCACGCTTTGCTCCCCCATCTGTCTCCATTTGCCGTGTTCAGTGATCCGTCTGTTAGTCCATTCATCTTCCTCGAGTCCTTCCCATAGTCCTTCACCATCCAACTATGCATTGTCTGATTCCTCTACCCGCTAATCTCCCTTCTCAAATCTGTCTTCCTTGTCCTTTGTCTCGCCAGTCTAGTCAGGTATGACCCTTAACCCTCCACTTATAATAAAGGAGGAGGTGTCCGCCATATCAGATTGTGTCAATGGAGCCAATACTGGGGTGACGGGAGTCATAGTGGGATTTTGACTAGCTGACGTTTGGTCTCGCCTGCAGAATACTAATGGGAGGATTATAGATCATGATTGATTAAAGCTTCTGGTCCCAGGACAGCTCATCAGTGACAAACTCATTATCCAATTAAACGTGGACCTTTTGCACATGCTCAGATACATGTCCTTCATAAGTTTTCCTCATCACAATTCTAACAGAGGTTACCTGTGTTATATCACAGTTTTTGTGCAAATTAAAGTTCTATTAAAACATACTCCTTTGTCGTACTGTAGATCTCAAGTCGATGCAGTGACTCAGAGCCTTTGTACAGCAATTAATACACAATTTTGCTGAGTCCACTTTTCTCCCTCCTCAAAAGTGCCACTGCAAGCCAGGACCAGGCGCAATAAAACAGGCCACATCCGCATTACACTGTCCCCCAAACCGCTTCCTCATTGTGTGGATCATCCCAGGCGGTTTTGCGCTTGTCTTGATTTCCAGCACTCACACTGCAACAGCTTGATGTCTATGAGCAGCTCCAGCGTCAGCAGCACCACCACCAGAACGACACAGGCCACCAGGAAACAGTTGAAGCCCGCCGACAGCAGACAGACATGCCACAGCGCTGCCCTTCGCCCGCAGCACGGCTTCAGCCAGTTCGACCTGACGGGTGGGGAGGACGGGGGGGGTTGAGGGACAGAGAGGGGAAGGAAATGTGCTCAGAGGAGCAGCAGACCCTGTTCTGCATACAAATTCAGATAATGTTCTCTGTTAAATTTAATGGGAAGCATAAATAATTGTTTAGAGTTGATATATATATATTAGTATGAAGTAGTTCACATTCTCGTTTCTACCTTCCTTTGCTAATGTGAAAACGTTTATTATAATCTTTGCCCTCCACTTCCAGGTAAAGCTCTCCTTTTGTAAAAGGCAAATGTAGTCAAATTACTGTCAACAACCTTTCATTTTTTGTTCGTCTATTTTTGGAAACGGATTAAGTGACGTCTGTTGTAACCCAAATCTCAGCATTAAAACGTTTGTTTTCTTCCCATCTGAACACGCTTGTGTGTATAAAGCACCAATGCATTTAATGATGGAATTATTGGAACGTCTAGAGGAGGTGAGAACTGACTCAGTGGCGTCATAGTCTCTAGTTTTGTTTCTGTATGTTATGTCATTTAAAACCTTAATATAAAGTGTGGCCTGATAAGAGTGACCTGTGTTTAATTCCTCTCCCTGTTGCATCACTGGGCGACAAATGGTGGAAAGCCCATCTGGGCGACTGTTTAGCTAAAAACCAGGCTGGCAGTCAGTTGACGGTCTCAATATTCTGGTAGACGCTCTGGAAGGCTTAGTTGCTGGCTGACCGCATGATGTAACTTCATGTGCACCATCTGGAGGGCGCAGTTGCACCTGGTTGCTGTCCATCACTAATTATTCCTGAACTGGTTGAGCAGAAACTGCTTAAAGCACGTTCGTCCAAATTGCTATCAATTTTCCATTCATTTGGAATGTGCTGTTGTCCCTCGTGCGCTGGCTGCTTGTCACGTTGGGTTCGGAGATGCAAGTGTGGCACCTGCTTTAAATCCGTTACGCCCTCGAGTTCCACCAGTCAGAAACAGACTCCTGTGGATTTATGGTCAATAAACTAAATAAATGACAGATTTTAGATAACAGAAGGCTTTCTCTTCCCGTCACAGCTCGGCATTCCACAGACAGGCGTACTCTTACAAGAGCAGACGCGGAAAAAGGAAAGTGCGTGTGCGTGTTGGGTTGCAGAGAGGACGCAGGGTGCAGCTGGTACAAAAGCATTGGGAATCATCCAAAACCGAACTTGAGAGAGCGCCAGGGAGGAACGTTGGAGGAGGAGGAAGAATGAGAAATAATGACCAGAAAAAGATGCAGATGGAGCTAAATGATAATTCCAGTATATTAACGAGTACAACCTTTTTTTGTGATTTTTGCCATCATCATATTGCCAATAGGAATAATGATAATTGCTAAGATTTGCGAACGTGGCAACATTGTTTGAAAAGAGGTGCAAACGGGCATAAAATACTAGCGGTCGGGTATAAACTCCCTTCCATGGAAGTAGGACAACAGGAAATTTGGAAAGTATCAACTCCTCATATCTGAGCAGCCAAAAATAAGAGACGTTTTGACTCCTTGTTTCACCTGTATATCAGAAAACGCACGTTTGACAGTAAAACGATTAGCCAAATTGGTGCGATCAGTTCTATGCAGCAACCCTTAATACCAGTCAATGCCAACAGGTCAGGAGCCAATCAGCCGGGGTGACCAGGAGGTGGTGGAGGGTAACGTTAGCCGATACCACGGAGACATTTCCCTGCACCGATTTGTTCCAAAGGAACAACGTCAAACGCCATCTGCCAGTGGAGGAGAACAAAGAAAAAGAAACCTTTGCCTAAAGATGCGCTTAATACACCGTCATCACACATGTGTGGACTATTATTTAGAAGACGGAATGAGCATCACGCGCTCTAAGAGACACCCGACTTCCCTCTGGGACCGACAAGCATGATTTAACTCAAACTGTGTGGAATAATTCATTCGGACCTCTCCCACAAGCCAGGCAGAAAAGGTTTATATTTAATAAACGTGTAAAGAAAACGGCTGTCTGGGAGTAAATGGCACTGATGGATTACTCTATAATCTGAAAACTTAATTTGAGGAAAAATCCCTTCAAACCTGGAATGGACATGAGGACATGAAGTATTTATACCCGACTCCCTGCCCGGGTCACGGCATAGGTGGATCAAATTGGTAATAACTCAAATATGTCCGTACACAGGCAAACATCGCATGCATGCACACACACACACACCGACCCACACACACACACACCCAGCCACACATACAAACCGTTCAGAGCAATATTTGAATATTTGACATGGCTTGTCCTGTGGACAGGTCCATAAAGACATCCAGCAGGTCAGCGGCCGCAGTACTGAGGGAAGATGGAAGAGGTCTTGACAGCAGGGGTATTAGATCACGAGCCCCGATCAATAGCGGCCACGGACGGAAGTAAAGTCACGCAGTACATGACGCCTGCTGCGGTGTCCCCTGCAGCCTCCTCTAAAGGACCGACAGAGACGTCAGCCGGAGCGACTGGTCGCTCTGTCGGGGCCCGTTCACACCCGACGCTGCGGAGAGTTTGGCTCCAGCTCCAGTTTAGTAACTCTCACTGTGGGGAGACAAGCTGCATCTCTTTCATTACACGGTCTCCTGTCACTGGACGCGATAAAATACAATGCAAAGTCATCAGGTACAAGTCAAATACAATGTGGTGCTCTGTTTGTGTGTTTGTGAGTTAACAAATTAAGAGAAAACGGAAGGGCCGCAGAGGGAAAAATTAATTCAGTTATTCAAGTAATGAGTCTCAAAGACTTGTCCGAGGTATTGATTTTTACACACACACACGCAATGAACAGCTGCAAATACCAACCCCTCCATCAGCGTTTCCAAAGGAACGCCTGAAAAACGCCGCTGTGCAATGCCTCTTAATAATTAAGGCCTAATCAATTAAAAGATGCCAATAAACAAACCGTAGGCTTCAGCATTCCCTTTAAGTAACAGGCAAACTTGTTTTTGTATTTCTTTGACTTATTTTTTCAGATACAGGCAGATTCGCTCTGCTAGTGTATATACACACACACACACACACAGCGAACTCCGAGCCGGTGTTGGTCAGAGAAATGGGCCACAGACACTGAGTGAATGGAGATGGATGGGGCTTCATGTGCAAAGCAGCAGACAAGCTGTCCCTGATAAATTGGTTTTCACCACAACACTTGATCTCTCTCGCTCTCAGCCTAAAAAGCAATCTCACACTTTGCATGTCTGTGAATATTAACAAACCCTCATACCCTGCACTCAAATGTCATCTATTGTGTTGCACATGGTGCCAGGCAAGATAGCCGATTTGATGGAGAGGACTGTTCTTCTTTGGGTTTGAAATAGAGTCGGTTGGGGCAGGGCGAAGAAAAGCTGGTTCTTTTATCTGACATCCATCCCAACAGAGCAGGTAGTATAGCTGTGGTTTCAAAGCCCCATGAACTATTGTTCCCGCCATGATTCATACTAGACTCTGGCAATGGTCCGTCACAGCTATTTTCGAGAGTCTAGATTTGTTATTATACCAATATCCAACATTTCACCAGACGCTGTATCGGCTTAATGTGGCCGTCACTGTGCAACCAGGTTAATCCCACAATACCGTCCAACGTGAACAGAGAGGGAACCCTGCAAATGGATCCATTGCATTCTGATCTGCAGGTTTGTGAATGAAAGCGTGAAGGCGGGTCGGCCGTCCTCTATTCCGCTCATCTCCCTTCACCTCCAGTAAAGGGGCTGGTTGGATATTCTGTAGTTTGCAAAAACTTTTAAATTATACAAATAAGACACTAGTTAGTGGGACGAGGGTAGATGTGAAATCCCACCAACCTTATCGTGGACTTTCCAGCAAGTTCTGGAGAAGATGGTTCTGCCAAAATCTATAAATATTCTCAGTTAGCTCACTACTGCATAGAATCTGCAAGGACTGCATGTGCCCCTTGTAGACCGCAAGAACATCCACCTCCTACATAATCGCCCACGTCTGCTGATAAAGAGCCACGAGGAGCTGGCATGCAAGACTGTATGCGCACCTCCGGCACAAGCATATGGAACAACATCCAACCAAGGCCTCACAGTCGAAAAAAAAAAAAGGATTGCGTTATAATCTCTTACTTATCCCATCGATGACCATTGGTTTGCAGCGCTTAGTTTAAGCTTCATACTTCTCCTTTCAACATTCCCCGAAGCAATGCCCAGAAGCTCAATACAAACTTAAACGGAAATCATATTTATGATAACATGAGTGATCACCTGCTTATACGTCTACAAACACAGGATAGAGTGACGTCGACAAAATCAAATAACCGAATATAAAAACCGTCTCACAAACGTTATTGTGGCTTAATAAGACACACCTTGCTCTTCACCAAAATCAACGCACAAAGTCACCGAGGAAAAAACGAAGACAATCATTTACAAAAGAGATCAAATTAGTCGGCAGTGTGCAGAGGAGTTTCTATGACGACACATTCCGACGCAACGTAAACCAGTTCATTGCCTCGCCATTAGCCCCTTTGTGTCATTCCTCTGATGCCACACACATGAGTCACAAAGGCATCCCGATTCTGTGGCGACAAGCTGGCTGCGTGGCCTTTTACAAGAACTCTTCCAAACAGACACATGTGTGTTTGGCGCTGTCTTGGAATGCTTGTAACCCGAAAATCGTGAATTCCAATCCGAAAAGCTCATTGAGCTGCAGCATTTACATGGGTGTCAGTTAGCACATAGTTTTCACCAGCCTGCCTCCTGGGCTATTCCGGGACTCTGAGGCGTTCCTGTGATAAGAATGAACGTCGACTTACTTTTCGCACAGAATATTCACAGCATTGTGTGAATTGATAAAAACCTCCAAATTCCAGGTTGACCAGGGTGTCATGTTGTCCTGTATGAAAGTGCCCACTGAGATGATGCTTTTGCTGGGATGCCAGATCCCGCCCGCTGCGGGGGGGCATTGCCACATGGTGAGCGGACAGAGTGGGGGTTTGGGTAAGGACCCATCTGGCTCTGCCCAGTGTCCCGTGGAGCTATCGGCCCGGACCAGGCCGGTCAGCTGACACACCGGGGGCTTGGATGGCGAAATGGCAATTAAGCGTGTAGTGTTTGACGACTCTCCCTGCATGGATGCTAAGCGTCACGGCATGCTAAAGGGTTGTGAGTCACGCTTCCTGAGGGGGAGAGCCATGGACACTTGCTACGGGGGTCCTCGAACACTCTCTGTTTTCTTCCAGAAATGGACATTGTGAACAGAAGCTCGTCTGGTGGTGAGAAAGTCATTGAGCTGAAATGACCACATCAGCGGAGCCATTGTCCGTTTAACACGGCGAGAATAATAAATGAATTGCCAAATATCCTCGACGACGGGACTATGATGTAAAATGAGGGGTGATCCAATACGCCAGGTGTAATTACCACCTGCAATAACGAGCAATGGGAGAGTGACGGCAGAGCGTTTCTCCGCTCGGGTAGATTATAGATGGTAGTAATTACGGGCGTAGCACTTTACCGAAACATCCCCAGGGCCAGTTTCTATTATCTAGTGTGATGGCCAAGATCAGAAACATCAAACACAATGTATGAACCTTTTGGGCTTTTTAAGTATATAAATGAATTAAAAAAAAAGGTAATTAATAATCAAGCTCCTCATTTTATTTCAAGCTCACTCTTACCGTTTGATGTGCTTCAAACACTTTTTAAATGACCACACACAAAACCCCTCACACTTCGATGGTTTTACCGACTGTGTTCAAACCATCAAGCAGCGACAGAGTGGATTTCTGGGACGTACCCGTCTCTGTTGTCCTCTTCGTCTGGGTTGGAGATGAGTTGGGATCCAGCGAGGGAAACGTCCAGGGCGGCCAGCGGCAAGTCTCTGTAGGCAAAGCTGACCAGCTGGACGGGGGCCGCGCACTGCTTGTCCTCCTCCACCTGCATGGAGATCACCTCCAGCTCCGAGGCTCCGGCCTTGGGAGGAGCACTGCGGTACACACACACACACATTCGCACACGACCACAACCAGAGCAGCATCAGCGTCAGCCTGGACTTGTGTCACCTTTAAATCTGTATACTTCTTCAGCAAAGGACAGTGAAGTGCAAGGTTGTATGTTAGTGTGGTTTGTTTCAATTAACAAGTGCTCCAGGTAGGGAAGTTTGACAATATCTACTGGGACTATGCTTAATGTTGATGAATGAAAACACAAACATGGTGTGAAGGTCCTTGTTTGCAGTGTTTACTGGCACCCTCAACAAGGGCACAATTTCCTGGCAAGTAATAAGAAGCTGATTTACATTTCTAAATGGCAGAAGATGAAGTCTCAAGCCACAGTATATATGGTAATTGGTATTGTACAAAAATGGAAATACTAATATATCAACTTAAATAGCGAACCGTGAATACTAAATGATTTCTCCTCACAACGGCAGACCGAGAAGAATGATATATTATAATGATCAATTTGGGGCATTTTTGCCTTTTTACCGGCTCTCTAAAGGTTTTTTTAAACGATCCTCCAACATCTAAACTAACACGGATGTCACAACATTCATTCTACAGCATTTGGATTTCTGTAAACATTGTGTGATTCCTGAATGTTAATAACATGACTGACTTTTCATTCATGGTTTACCGAAGTTTCTACTTGACAGAATTATGAAATTAATTGAAACCAATGGCTGCCTGAAAATCAATCAATTTAAAAACATATAGTATGAGTCAAAATATGCAAAACTAGCCCAAACTTTCTGCACAGCAAGAAAAAGCTTTGTTTGTCCATTTTGATATATTCAATGTACTTTCTTCCGCATTGTCGTGTTTGTCACTTTATCTGCCATCGAGGTCGTGAAACCTCAAACATAAACTGAGCACTATGACCGTTCGAGCTCAGCCAATAGCCGACAAGGAGAAGTCACCTTGGAACAAGAGTCTCAAACGGCTTGGCAGCTGTCCCAGTGCAGCCGGTGTGAGACATCAATAACTCCAGTGCATAACAGTGGAGGAAGGCATCGATTACAACGCAGAGGGAACAGAGGCCGTTGGCTCGGTGAATTCAGCGACTCTGTGCTGGAGGTGAAGCGGAGTGGGAGGGGACGGTTTGTAAAGATCACTGAGCAGACCCACCTTCCTGCAAAATGTAGATTCAGGCACGGCTGGAAAGGAACATTTTCCTGACTTATTTCTTGACTACTACTGTTTTAAAGGACTATCGTGAAAAGTTATTTTGTTACACTTACGCAAACCCAACAAGGGCGATGCAACACAAATACCTTGTGTTATTTAGCCTGAGGGTCAAACGGTCATATATTTACATGCCCTCCACAAAATGCCCGCGCATCACTGTTATCTGTGGACTTGGCACCTTTGGCCAAATGCAATAAGGAAGCTAATGCGTCATGACAAACACAAACTGTGCAGTGCATCAAAATCACATCTCCAGACCATCGCGGAGGCGGCCAGAAGCCGTTCTGTGCGGAGCCCAGCGGGGTGGCTGGGTGCCATGGTGGGGGCGGAGGGGAGGCTTCACGCCTGAACACTATGCTCACTTCAACAATGCAAGCAAGGACAGCCACTGGCGTGCTGGCATGTGATGGGCGGGCATGTGACTTCTGCGACACTAAGAGGAGGCGGAAGGGTCAGCGTAGAGCATGCGTGTCTTGAGGGGAAATCTTGCACCCGTACAGAACAGCTATTCTCATCATGGAGCCCAAAAGACTATAAATAAATAAATAAAAATAAAACATGCTTTGAAAATGAGCCGTTTACTAAATGCCGATCTGGCTTTATTTAACACGGTATTGTTCTTACAGCGACGCTGTAATTAAACTAACTTGCAGTGAATAAGCTATTCAGCACGGCTATTATAGTATTATGTTAATAGACAACAAATAGCAGTTAAAGTAATCTGATTCAGTGCAGAGGTCAAAGGTATAATACGTTCTGTATACCGACACTTGGTTACTGCCTGATGCACAGCAATTCACTGCGATGATATGATCAGGAAAGCAGAAACAACGTGCTAAATCACTTCTATGGGTACCGTCCAGATTTCCCAAAGCAGCAACCCAGACAAAAGCTTCCAATACAAATGATATTTTAGGCAATTCCTGCTCTTTCAATGTCCTAGGGGAAATTGCAGTAGTTCCTAATTCCAATGCATCAATAAAGAATGTGTTTTGTTGGTCTTTGGAGGTTTCTTTAATAGAGAAAATGCTTTGGCTGACGTTTTGTTCCGTATCACCTCAATTAACAGGCAGGGAAAGAAAGGCCTGAAATATAAGGGGTGGGCTTTTTGTTAGGTTGTTTTAAAATTCAAAGAGCTACATAATGGAAAGAAACCGAAAGAACATTACCTCATATCTTTTTGCGAACCGTATTTTAAATGTAAACTACAGACAGACATGTAACTTTTTTAAATACACAGGAAAATGCAAGATAAATCCCTTCATTTTTTTCTGTTTAAGCATCTCATACATTTCCCCATCTCGCCTCCCACTGTTTCCACATCAGAGATGCTACAGGGCTTCGGAGAGAGGAAGCGGCAGAGAGAGAGAGAAAAGGGGGATTTACAGCAGCATCAAGTCAAGAGAGCAGGGGTGAAAATAACTACAAAGACCGTTCTCTGCATGAGAGTTTCCCATCTGTCACGGGATTGCAGCAGCATTAAATAATGACTTTGTACTACCAACTACTCATTGCATTCTCTATATTATGTGCTTACAGATGTGTTGCACCAAAATTCCCCTTTAAATGTAATCAACTGCCCTAATCTGCTGGCTTGAGGCTTGGAAAGAGGTGGTTGGAAGCAGCATCCTGTGCCTTTAACTAAGGGATGCAGCTGACTGAACCCATTTTGCATTCAACCTTCACTCCACTCCTCCACCTCCTCCCACTGCGCTCCTTTCCCTCTGCTCCCTTCCCTTTTTTTTTCCTCCTTCTTCCGAGCCCCAACCGTGGCTGTCATCAGAATGCAGGGCCTGTCTGGACAACCACGAGTAATTATTAATAAGAGAAGATGACAAGTGAACATCCCTCTTGAATGCTAAGAGATGCCAGCGGAGACTGGAGATGGCCAGCCAGTCTCTCGCTGTGGGCCCTGCAAGAGGCTCCACTCGTTTCTGCCGAAGCCATTCGCACTGGGGGGGGGGGGTCAGGTGTATATCCAGGTCCCATCCTGCTATTCATACACTTCCACGCTGAGTTGACCTTTGCGTAAGACTGCGTGTTCATAAATGGAGATGTAAGATTTCACACTGTCTCAGACACGGTTTCATACTTACTGGTGGTTGCTCATGTTGAGGTCTTGTTGCTGCAAATTAGACGTCCACACGAAATGTCCCAGAGTGTGAAATGCAAGTTCACCACTGCAGAGACCTGGCTCATACCACCCCTATAGAAAACATAAAGGAACAGTGGGATTGCTACAAACATAGGAAATCATTCAGCAGATCACAGGAAAACTCTATAAGCCAAGGCGAATTGGGAGATGTGATTGGTAGCTTATATAGTAAAGTTGTGTAGAACACAAATGCATGCAAAATGATGTGTGAAGAGTGAAGTGTCAATGCGTATGCTGCTTAGGCTGTTCCCGAAGGCGAACTGTCCTAACGCCAGCTGTAGCTATGTTCTGTTCAACTATTTTCCTGGGGGGCACTAAACCATAATGGATTTTAAATCCCCTCCAATATACGCTCTGCTCCGTGAATCGGGCACTGAGGAACATCACACCTCTTGCATAGCAAGTATGGCGGGATGCGAGCCCTTTGTGCCGCGGGATAGAGAGCCGTTGATGTCCAAGTTTGTCCAGTGGAAGCCCTCTCCAGCTGCTTTGCAGGGAACAGACATGCCGATCTCAAACGCATGGCTGTCGCTTACCACATCATGTCCACGAGAAAGAAAACGGGCTCAGCTCTCAGCGATGCAAAGTAAAAGTAACACTGCAATCGGCTTTCGAAAAGAGATGAATTCATGAGTGCAATGCTTATACATTCGGATCCTTGCGTGTGTGACACACGGAGCCACAGCGAGGTGAGGAGTCAGCATTCACAGCCGCAGCAGACCACAGCAGAGTAACGTAGTGAAGCACAGCAGATCAACTGCTACTCAGGATAAATCAGCTCGGGTCATTCCAGGGCTGAGTGCGACGCCGCTTCACAGCAGAACCCAAAAACATGTTTTTTTTGTATAATAATAATAATAATCAGGAAAAAGCGGTGCCAACAGTCACACAGCCATCACTTAACAAGGTGCAGGGCAAGTTGTTTAATGCAAAGTATCGCTGGACATGAGTAAACAAATACGATTTGTCTTGAGCTGCTACTTATGACAGTTTCCAGAAAGTGATTGATCAGCGGAGGTGGCAATTTCTACTATTCCATTTAACAACAACAACAAAAATAAAGCATGCACTGGGGGCCATGTCTGTGCACGCTTTCTGCTTTTCACCCCGTCAACATGTATTTGCATTCATTTCCCATCGTCGTAGCTACATTAACAGTTAATGGTGCTGGTACATCTTACTGGTACATGGTGCACGGTCTCATTCCTGAACCAACGCAAACGATTCAACTACCCAGCGCGAAATCAACACACACACACACACACACACACACACACACACACACACACACACACACACACACACACACGACCCACTAACCTCGTACGTTTCCTACATTGTGTTGAGTGTGGTCGTGACTCCTTCTCGCTCGCAGTGATGTGGGTAATATCTCCCTTCACGCTGATGATGATGATGATGATGATGAGGATGAGGATGAGGATCGGTGTGAGAGAAGCTCGGATCTTGCTGTGTGTAGGCTGCGATTCCCCTCAAATTTGCGTTGGCCGAGCAACCGTATCGCCTCTCAGAAGACAGCGCACGACGAAAACACCTCCTCCGGACCGGAGGCAGCATCCTTCAGCGGAGGAGACGACGGGCCGTCTCTCAATCAGGGGGGCGACGACATCTTCGGAGGGGAGAGGCAGGACGCGCTTGCAGGGCTTCCCCCACAATCACAACGGGGAATCCATGTGCTCGGAATAAATAAATAAATAAAAATAAAAACAGCGGGCAGAGGTTGACTAGCGGGGAGCTGTCCAGGTGCTGAAGGAAAGGGGGGGTTGCAGGGGTTCCAGATGTGCAGCGGGCAGCGCCGTCAGCGCGCAGCTAACCGGGTTTGACCCACACACGCGGTGATGTGACATTGCGTATTTAAGCGGTGTAGATTCCAATTGAGCCGCAAAAGAGCCCGCAGACGTCTCCGCTTTCTGTGTCGGCCCATCAGCGTCGACGTAGAAAAAAAAAAAAAAACTCTCGCTTCACTTGGTCTCTTGAGATTTAGAGTTCCTCGCGATAACACGAAGAAAACCCCCCACCAACACTCCTGCAGTGACCTCAGTGGTGTGTTCATGACCAAGTCTGCTGTATTTAAATGCATAGATATAGATTTATACAAAATAATGTATATTTTTCAGTGATACGGTAAATAAACACACGTCCCTTCCCATCAAATGAACAATCAAAATAAAAGGTCAGTTAAAATGTGATCCATTGTGACGGATTAAACTACCAAATATAAAGTAGTTAATAAGTCCTCCTTGAACAAAGACAACATCAGTACAACGAAGATTTAGTGTTACTATTTAAATAATGACTCAATACTAGTTTAAAGTGGAGTAGCTCTTCTGCGTTATAAATCTTGTATTCTTTCCTTGGTAAACTGCTGTGGCTCTGCTGACTCTCTCTTACTGTATTGTTAACAAACGCACTTCTGGAGTATTTGTGATTTCTCTCCCAGCAGGAGATGTCGTTGTTATCTGGGCCGTGCTTGTATCTGCCTTCAATCTATTGCTGACAAGATTACTGCTTCGGATATCATGGCTATTCTACTAAAGTACAATATATTGTTTTTCCTGTGCCGAGGATCTCAAAAAAGATTGAAAAGCAGCATGGAAATTTGTGATTTTAGGTTATACTAAAAGAATTGAATTTAGTATTCCCATACTACGATATAACTTAAGTTAATCATTTGAATTGTTTATCCACCACTGGAGCGCAGTGAACAACCAACAACGTACAACATTGATTATCGGTCTGAACATAGTGTTTATAAGATTATGAAAAACTTCCCACGAAGCCATTCATGCTTCCTTTGAATACCAGTCATTCAGTTTTTTGTTTTTTTTCTTCTCACCGATCCCAAACACGCTGCGTTCACATGCACAACAGGTGATTTGCTCATTCGTCACCCGCTGCAATCCAATCCCACGAGAACAAAAGCTAAATATAACACGCTGTGTTGTAGTCTGACGTCAGATGTCAACGTTGTCTAAAGCGCTGCTGCTGTTTTTAAATGTCACCTTTCACCCCACGATAATGAGTAACTTACTACCAGGTATCCTGACGTGGAGCTTGTCATTCACAATGTGGACAAACTGCAATCACAACATTTCTTTGAGCAAAGGGAGTAACACGCCCACGCGAAAGAGTCTTCAGGTAAAACAAAAAGCAGTTCCGAGGTACTGCGACTCGCCCGCGGAACCTGCTCCAACAACCAAAAGCTGGGATTTCGCGAGCTGGTAAGCAAAGAGTTTTTATGAGTTTTCCGTCCCGGTGATGATATGTTCCTCTCTCTACGCAACGTTAGTCGAGGACACGTTTCAGATTTAAGAAACGCTTCATAGAGCCAGCGGCTTTGTTCTCACTCTTGTGCTCTGCTTTCCTCAGCGGGGATTTCTTCCTTTTCTCAAAACGCAAACGTTTCTTACGTGTTTGCAGAAAACACGTAGAGAACCACATTCCAAATGATGGCAGGTAATAAAAAAAAAACACTAAAAATAAATCCTTTTTAAGAAGTGATTATTCAGCCATTTTCAAATTCCTGAAATTGTTATGTCTGTAGACCATGGAGACTTGTGCGACGGGCAGGAAGCCACGTACTGCATGAACGGAGGGACGTGCTATAAAATACTCTCCATGGACACGCTCTCCTGCGTGTGAGTAAAAGAAAAAAAAATTCAAAAATCACATTCTCGATTTTCCTTGGTATGAAAAAAATGTCTTTAGGAACATATTACTTTTCATTTTGGAATATCTGTCGATGTCACGAGATGTTATATTCATGGCAGTTTTCCTCGGTTCTTAAACCAGATGCAATGAAAGCTACAAAGGCAGCCGGTGTGAGCAGTTCCAACTCTTCAGCACCACCAGCAACGCAACAGAAGCAGGGTTGATTGCAGCCCTGGTCATCGTTGCTCTCCTAATCTTAGCGTTGCTGGCAGTCGTCATCTACTTCATGCGCAGGTAAATACATTAAGGATTACCACGAAAAGTGTCTAAAAATGACATTATGTGGAAGTGTTTTACGCATTATACTAAGCTGGTATTGTTCTACTCAGGCAGAATGTACACTTGGAAATAAAACAATAAGCATTTGTTTTGTTCCCACGTAGGGTGTTGAAAACCAGACAACAGAGCCAACAGGACAACCCGACAGAGTACTGGAGAGTAAAACCCAGAGTATGATCGTCTGATTTCCATGCGTTTCTCTTTTTGCGGAGTTACGGCTGCAGACAGCAGCCACTAAACAGCTGTAACGTAAGGGGCAACTCCTCGCACTCAATTAACGACCACTAAAAGTTATTATTTCCACTGCAGAGAACAAACTCTCTTTTGGTTATTGTGCGTGTAATTCTCGTGTGTCATTGAGAAAACCCAAAATCAGTGTTGAAACAAAGCTAAGAATAATAAACCGTTTTAATAACACAGAGCCGAGCTTTCTGTTCTCAGACGGACTCAAACATAAACTCTACTCACACTAAGACAGTGAGCAGTTGCCCAGAACGATTCCATCACAGCATGTTCGGCAGCTGCCGTTTGCAGCGTTGTTGCTCAATACTGGATCAGTTGTACATAACGTTGTCCCCATTAGTCGCTGAGACACAAAAACACGGGAAAAACAGGGTCACGGTTGAAAAATACCAAGTTTATCTTGTCAAGTCAAGAGAGGACGAACACCTCATGAGATTTTTTTGAGTCCACAACCTTTGGTTTAAAAAGATGGAACTGGTGTCACTCATATCACATTTCAATCTGTGCTTTAGCTGATATGTACGAAGCATGGTTGTAACATCGGAAATATTATTCTCAATATTTAGTTATGAAATAACCCCTTGTGTCAATTGATGAATATGCTCAATATCCTATTAAATATTTAATAAAGTTTGTGATAATATATCCAACGAACCCCACTGACTGATTTTCTGGTGGGTAGGGGACACACACACACACACACACACACCTGTCCTTCCTCTAGTCATGATCACTTTATTCTATTCTTCACCTATCTTAAGCCGAAACCACATGAAGCAGCCACGGCTGGCCAGGATGACATTACATATATATATATATATATATATATAAAAAAAAAATTAGCTGATCGCGAGCCAATCACCAGCCCGATGAATCTAATAACAGGAACTCCCAGCAGATTCCTGTTGAAAATAGATGCATCCAATCTGCTTTGATGCAGCGAGGAGGAGGGGTAGTTAAACCTGTTGGACTGCATAGCCGAGGTTTGTGGGTCTCTTCCTTTTGGAACACGTGCCCCCACCAATGTGTAAACTAAATGTGAATTACCAAGCAACAATCTACGGTTGGATCAAAATCGTTGAGGCATGAAGTGGGCACAGCAGTGGATACTACAGTACTGGTTCAGCACGTCATGTTGCTACGACCCAAAAAGCCACTTCATGGGGTGTAGAGACGGTTAAAAAGGTTTATTGTGCAGCTTTAAAAAAAAAAAGAAAAAACTTCTTTCCATCGTATGTGAAATGTACGGAATGAAACAAGCCAACGAACTGATGCCATGAATCAGTGGCTTGTTTCTATGTGTTGATTTACAGCATCTTGCTTCCACCTGGTGTCAGCGTGTCAGTGTTGCAGCGGGAAGCGAGTGGAGTTCACGTGACAAACATCTAGACCCAACGTTCACGTCGTCCAGGTCGACTCACTCCAACGAGCTCCTGGCAGCGTCAAACTCGTGCGCAATTTTCAGCGCTGTGCTGTTAAGTCCAACCGACTGCATGTTGGTGATGATGGTGACGACCACTCCCCGGGGGACGCGGGGGTCCCGCCCTTCGGCCTCCTCGCCGGGCAACACCAGGAGGACGCTGCTGGCCCCCACCGCGCCTCCCGTGTGCGACACGTAGTGCCTCCGCTTCCTGCACTGCCCGTACCTCTGCAGCTTCTCCACCACCAGCCACCCTTGGGCGTAACGTCCGTCCCTGTCCCAGCTCGCCTCCGTCCTGTCAACCGGCGACCAAAGGTCCATCGCCGTTTGGGGCGCGAGGAAGCCGGGGAGGAAGCCCCCGGCGTCCTCCAGGTGGGCCAGCTGGTAGCTGTAGAGCAGCGCGTTACCGAACAGCAGCAAGTCGCCCACCGTGGAGAGGAAGCCGCCTCCCGCCCACTTGTAGGAGTTGTCGACGTACGGGCAGTTGACGACGCGCCCGCTCTTGTTGAGCCGATAGAATCTGCGGAGGAGGAGCAGCAGCAGCAGGCGTGGGAATCGTCTCATTTCACGTGGTGAAAACAAATCAGACGTCTTTCCGAGGAAAGATGGAACATGTCTACACATCTCGTTTGTGACACTCGACATTGGTCACTTCATTTTACCGTGAGCGGTGGTAGATGATTGGGTCGTTCTTGTCGGGCACGGTATTGAGCATTCCCAACTCGCGGAACATGGTCATCATGACGTCCAGGAAGTGCTGCCCGGCGGCTCGCTCCACGGCGGCACTCAGCAGGGTGAAGGCGTGGGTGGAGTACAGGAAAGTGGTGCCTGCACATAAGAAAAAGAAAATTCAAGATCATCAAGACGTTGAACCACATCTGAATGATTTGGCAAGCGAGTAATGTGCTTTACCGGGTTTGAAAATGAGCGGGTCGTCCTTGAAGAGGTCCAGGGCCTCCGTGACACTTTCAAAGTTGTCCTTCAAGTAGTATTCCTCGTGCTCAAACTCCTTTTTCTTCTCCCGAGTGGCTTCTGTGCCTTTGGTGTTTGGTTCCGTTGCAGAGGAACTCTTTGCATCGTCTTCCTTTGGCGGCTTCAGGAGGCGCTTGGCCTTCTCCCTGCTCTCCATCACTTTCTTTGCGTCCTTCTCATAATGCCGTATACCACTCAGGTGGGACAGAAGCATGCGAGGGGTTATCGTGACCTGCAACGAATGACGCGCGCGTGAGCCAAAACATTCCCGGTCAAAAAGAAAACCTCCGGCTCCGTGCTGCTCGAGTGGCTTACGTCCTGTCCGTTAAAGCGTTTCCGGGGGAACTCAGGGACGTATTTCTGGACCGGGACGTCGAGCTCCAGCTTCCCCTCCTCGCAGAGTCGTGCAGCAGCTGCAGATGTGAGGGGCTTGCTGATGCTGGCGACGCGCATCACCGTCGCCGGGCCGCACGGCACGCGGTTCTCCAAGTCGGCGTAACCGATCCCTGGGGGACATGGAGATTTTGAATGATCCTATTGAGAGATTGAAAGCGTTATGCAGGAATACACATGAAATATGAATTGCGAAAAGCCGCACTGCAACTTATAAGTTCATTTTTAATACATGTCAGGACTTTGAGGTCAAACACTTTGTTTTCTCGTGGTCACAGACTTTAAAAAAGGACTTCAGAGGCACCGACCTTCGCTCCAGACTTCCGCACCATCCACGGAGACGCCGACCACCAGCCCCGGAGCCCCGACCTCCGCCTGCGGGACCGGACACAAAACACCGACGTGACGCACCGGGACACCCGGGAGGGGGCGGGGTAGAGAAAAGCAGCACGCGGGGCCTACCTGTTCGCTTACCTTTATCCTCTCCACAAGCTCCCTGCTCGCTTCTATGGCGTCGCCGTATCGCTCGGTCCTGCGCGCGTCGCAACGGGAGCCGCCGGACGCGTCCTTTCGGTATTTCAGCCCCACGGCCAAAGCGATGGCCGCCGCCGCCCCGCGTATCCACACCGTGGACTTTGACGCGTGTTTAGAGAACGTTGTGTTTGACCCCCCGACGCGGCGCGTTTGCTGGCGGGCGAAGGCGCTCCTGCTGCAGCGCAGCAGCTTGGCGCGCGCCGCCAGCTGCGGACATTTGGCACAAACGCCATTCGGCGAAAACAACCGGGACATAGTTGGACGCGTGGTTCCTTTCTTTCTTATTTTTGAGATAACTGATACTTGTTCTTCTGTTTTTTACGGCGGGTGTCGTCCAGCTTAAAGAGGCGTTGGCGCCCCCTGCTGCTCCGGAGTGGGGCTCGGATTATGATTTCTATTATTTAAGCGTACAATGGTCCAACCTTTCACTCTATAGCTCATCATTAGTCTTTTGTAAATTGTACCTTGGGGATGATGTGGGGCTTTGGGGTAACTGCGAGAAGGTGACCGGTGCGCCAGCATTTTTGTTTTGCTTTTAAAGTTGTTTTAAGAGCCAAACATTTGATGTTATTTTCTGTGCAGACATTAGTGACGCTGCACTTGGGTTCTACACTCAATCAAGGGTTTTAACCCGTAAGGGCAACGGGTTCGAACTTTTTTGCAGTAAGTTTCTGTTATGTATGTCTGAAAGAAATGGACTGGTTTGCTACTACTAGCACATGAATACTGGGCTGCGCGACAGTTTGTTTTTGGTATTTATGGTCTGAAATAAATTGAACGTATTCATTTTTATTCAGATGTTTGTTCCATGTTCAGGCACATCTGACAGAATAATCAAAAATATACCCATTTACCCCCTAACCATAATGCATATATAAGCAGTGGGGCTTTAGGTGGACAGAATGACGGGGAAAATACAAAAACAAATGCAGAATTTTCCATTTCCCACACAGTTTAATAAATATGTGTTATGCAGAAATGTCCTATAACATTTTCCAATAAGTGCTGCATATGTCTGGCTGCTGATCCCGATGCTATAAAAACACTCCTATAACTGCTGCAAACCTCTCTAAATTGTACACATCCGTCCTTAGCTTCACCTTGTGCTTAATTCTTAGGGTTACAAAATTAATATTATTTTTAATTTTTCTGACAAATAGTGTTTTGTTTCCATGGCTTTGCATCAGGTTTGATTCAATCACTTGCCATTCATGTAGGTAACCTCTAGATGGAAAAAAAGGCTAGTATACAAGTTAGAAAACTTTCAAAACGTGCCTTTTTATTTTCATGATTTATAAATGTCAGATATGATAATGACATGACACATCTACATTAATACAATGCACAACCAGATGAATGAAATCCTACTTCATAGACAAGATGGAGAAATGTTGAACCATGGTTTTAAAGGATCAGAATATACTGTAATGCATTGCTTAACAATACAGTAGCACCAGTTTAAATGATGACAGGCAGAGCCAATTTACACCAACACGTGTTAAGAAAGTTTCTGGGAGGAGGGCATGTAAATATGTTTTACAGAATTTATGTGCAACATTTCTACACTTTGTCTATATGTATGTGCATAATCTAGGTAGCATGGAATGGACCAGATTAGCTTCATTTTAATAGAAAACCAATTTACAAATGTTACCACCAAGCTCTTCTCAAGGATTGCAAAAGGCGGACATCATTACAAGATTAAAAACTGGCTTGCGAAAAAATAGCCGTTGAGGCCTCATCAAAGGGAATAGTTAAGCTTTACTTCCCCTTAGCTTTGCTCCTTGGTCAACTTCCGCTGAAGGCAGGACGGTGAAATAACAAATGCATTTAGCCGTTTCATCTCTACCATCGGCAAGGTGTGAGGAGAGAGGTTCATGGTTAGCAAGGTGCATGTACAAAAAGCCAAAACCACAAGTGCATGTGGGGTCGGACCGTGCTTTCACAAATTATTCAGTTCCATTAGAGTCTGGTCCAGCATCTGGTGCATATCGAGGTTCTCTTCCTTAGCTTGTGACAGTTTTTCTGTTAGAACATCAAATGGAGAAGTTATAATCTCACACAATCAAGCAGTAGTTATTGGTTAGCTTGCATTAATAATCAAGGAGGTTACATAACCAAACACATCTAAACCTCCACTTCGAGGACACAGAACAAGAGAAACACATAATGAGTAAACGGCTTGTTTTAGGATGTGCAAGCCCCCATGCAAACAGTTAACAACAAAAAAATCCATAAAAAATAGATTATTGTATTAGATAATAAAGACAATACATTATATATTTGAGTCCCTGATTTTCACCAAACTTCGATTACATTTCCACAAACAGCAACACAGTTTTCAAGCAGTGCGAGCATCATACGACGCCAACAGAAGAACTTTGGATCTGGCTCTGGATGAGATTGTCACGCACACATTAAACCGTAACACACAAGTGAGACATCCGCACAGTTTAGTCATCGTTCAAGGCCAAGCGCAGTTCGTTAGTGAGAAGGCGGTTTTTCTGAAGTTGATGGTGGAGGCGATCTTTGCAGTCAGAAAGCAAGTAGAGAAACAGAGAGACGGGAAGTCAGAAGAAAAGAGGAAAAGCCGGTTGACACTTACCTTACCAGAACAGGCCATAAGTAACGTTTTAAAGTCATTTATGAAACACACCGACACCATCTGAACAGCCATTAAGTAACACAATCAAACTGTGTTTTGACGTCCTTGATCTTGAGAGGTGGTTTTGGGTGAAAAGGACGAGCAAATGAGCAAGTTTAATCCCAATAGGTCAAAGGATAAAATGGCAGCTTAATAATAAAACCTATAAACCAGGATAGTTTGGGAACAAAACAGAAGCAATAACTACGTGCACTGTTTATCTGACATCTTGCTCTCTATCGAATGAATCTCATCACCTGCTTAGATGTGGCTGCAAACTGAGGATAGACCAGAAGAACGAGGCTCATTCATCACGTCTTCAATCACGACGTTTCAAAGTAATGGTGACAACTTTAATAAAAACACTCAGTATATGTCATTGTTTATTTATTCAAATAGATGACAGGATACTGTGTATCATACAAAGCCCAGGTCTCATAATCACTAATAGCAATTAACTCCATTTTTTTTTCCCTCCAGCAACCACATGAGGCTCAACAAATCTCACACACTGTTCTGTACTCCACCGTTACACTCTTTACTCTCCTACTTCACCACAATCCAACACTAATTCCCTACAATTCTCAAGTCTTTCAAGTCATTACTAAATGTTGAAAAGTGCCTGCATTCATCAGGCGCTAAGAGAGAAGACAACTTGGCTCAGCTTTCGGTCCAGTACCTGCAGTTGTTCTGGATTTCTGTGCTCACGTCACTACTGTGATATTCCTTATATCTCAGCTTCACAGAAAATATTTGAATGAAATAAAAAGAAACATAAAAAAAAAGCCGTGTGAAACTCGTCGAATGGCTTGTTGAGATGCAGAAAAGATGAGGATCATAACTTAAAATCGGGGCTACTTAGTTTAATTCGAGCCACTTGAAAATAAATAAATTAAAGAGGAAAAAAGGGACAGAGTAAAGAGATACAGCTTACATAGAAGGAAGGACGTTTATTTTTTACACAATGCAGAAAGATTCTAGGAGTCTGTACAAGTGATGGGATGCAATCGACTTTGACTTGAGGGTGAGAACATGAGGAGGAAAGGAAAGCAAAGACAAGAGAGGGACGGGGAAGTTGAGAGACGGCTGGAGGGAGCAGACAGATGCCGCTCAGCCGGCAGGAGGCGTCTTTGATGAGGTGTGAAATATTTATCTGAGTGGGGAGAGAAGAAGCACAGTGAACCAGCGGGTCGGCGCGGGACCTACGCGGACCGGAGACGAGCACCACAATGCACCCGAACCACTACGGAGCCGGAACACGCGGCGGCACGACATCGTGAGGTCAGCACATGCTGGCAAACACCGTCTGGAGGACGGACCAACTCCTTCCTCTGATTAGATTGGGGGGAGGGGGGGGTTTGCTAATGGGACGCTACGTTGTGAGTTAACCGTCAAATGGTACAACCGCAAACGGGGGGCTCTTGCAAAACACTCGGGTGGGAGGAGGGGAGGGGGGGGGCTAACTTCTGCACAGAAGTAGACCATGTTAGTAGAAGAGGAGGGACAAAACACTCGCGTTAGAATCCGACTCATTAAAAAAAACACAATTCAACTCCCATGCATTGCCAGAATGTGAAAATATAGTTTTTAAAAATATCTAGGAATGTGTATAAAATGCCTTTAATGCCAAATCGGCAAAGCGTAACAGGACTCAAGTCCAGTGCAAAGGGCATTCAGTATCATAACGAAAAAAGGCAGGCGCAGCGGGTTGAGATTTACATGGAGGTCATGTCGTTGAGGGCGTGGTCCAGCTCCTCGCTGATGGCCTTGTACTTCAGTTTCTGGGCATACAACTCATCTATTGGTGGGCCCGAGTGGTGCAGGAGGGAGGGACGGGGGACGGGTGGGGGGGGGCAAAGGTGAAAGGAGCACAGGGCACGGAGGTGAAGGGTGAAGCATCCGGAACATTGGCGAGAGAGAAAAAGATAGGGAGAGGTGACAGAAAAGAAAATTGAAGGCGGGGGGGGAAAAAGGAAAACAAAGTTACACCAGAAAATGACTGAATGGAAAAGCAAAAAGAAAAAGTCTGGTGAAATTCCTCAGCGTCATGAAGAGAGACCATAAGTCCTTGACCACCAAGTCAACATTCAAGCCTGATATCTGTGATAAACATAAAACCAGTCTTTCCTACCATAGGACGTAGAAAACAAACCACTAGTAGACTAAGAGTCACCACACATAAACATGATGGCGTCTGGAAAAGAGCCGTGACGCCATTAAGACGGAAGCAGAAATACAGTGTAAGAGCGAAGCAAACAAGAGGCTTAAGAGATTTTTTTTTTTGCCATGACACCATCACTGACACAATAACCCTTTCAACACAAACAAAGTAGCTTTCTAGGGAGGAGGGCGAGAAAATCCTACCTTCCAAGTCATCAATGGTCTTCTCAAGCTTGGCTACTGATCTCTCAGCAAACTCAGCACGAGTCTCAGCCTGTGTTACAGAGACAAACCACGGAGTGAGTGCGACACTCAAAGTGTGATACGCCACCTGGGACTCGTATCTCCTCAGGGGGGGGGGGCTCAGCCTGCAGATGGGGCCTTATGAAACTTTACCTCCTTCAGCTTGTCGGTGAGGACCTTGATCTCCTCCTCGTATTTGTCCTCCTTCTGTGAGTACTGTGGGACAAAAAAAACAACACCGACAGGTGTCAAACACATGGCCGTGGATTCTGCATGTTTCATGAATGTTTACGGATATGGACGGGTTATGAAATAAAAGCGAAGGGAAGAAGCTCCTCTGCTCCCTCTGACTGAGGAGTGTGACAGCATGCGCTCGGCCAGGAGGCCGCACTCACCTTCTCAGCCTGGGCCTCCAGTGACTTCAGGTTGTTGGTCACAGTTTTCAACTCTTCCTCAAGCTCAGAGCATTTGCTGGTGTTTTAGATGGAGGGGATGAAGTGGCGATGGATAAGAAGGAGGGGTCGAGGAAGAAGGAGGGAAGCGAGGATGGGCAGAACCAGAGGTGGACACGAACCAGGAGGAAGGAAGAGGGAGTAAGAAAGGGGGAGGGAGGAAACAAGACAAATAAGAACTACAGGGATTCAACGAGTACCTTAAACAACCGGGAAGGATTGTGAGAATAGAAGTTTGAATCGAAAAGTAGAGGGTTGTAATGGCATTATTAATTTGGTTTAAAGCTATTTCCGCATCTCTATATATATATATATATATATATATATATATATATATGTGCATCATGCTTTATATCATGCGCTGTCTTGAGTGTGAGGTGTTATTCTTGCACAGTCTCTGCCATGTTAGAGACATAAAAGAGTCCAAGTACTTTGAATATAATAGAGTAGAAAAGAAGAGACAGGTGAAGCAGTGGGGACACTTAACAGCATGAATGACAGCGGGAGGAGTTATTCATCACAGATCTGTGTTAGTTCCTGTTTGTAGTACCTTTAAGACGGAGGAGCTTAGTGATTTCATGCCTTGCTCCAAACCCCTTAGCTCTTCTTCCCCTCTCCGAGTCCGTCTGTTTATGGGCGCGGCGGACGCATGCAAGCCAAAACCATTCAAACCAGTGAGAGCATGCAAATGATGAGCGCACACGGTACAAACACAAGGCACACTGTTCAAATGGACACCGAGTCGTACGCTTTGCGTATCGGCGCTCAGAGCTCAACTGTTGAAATGCTAGTGCACACATGCAAACGTGGAAGTGCAGCTCTAGTGCGTGTAAAGGTGGGACCTCTTACCCCTCGTTCAGCTCAGCGCGCTCCTCTGCACGCTCAAGATCACCCTCAATGATGACCAGCTTACGGGCGACCTTTGGGTGCAGCACAACAAAGTGTTACAACGCAACACATGAGTGTGACAATACCAGCATGCGGTTTTAAAGCTCCACTTGGTAACACTTTGCTTTCGCCCCCATTGTTAGGACTTCCTGCGCATAAGATGAACATATAATAAATGCTTTATAACTAAGTATTTGTCAACAACTATAACTGAAGTAGAAAGTAATGTTAAATGAATATACTAAATTAAAGTATAAGTACCTCAAATGTAAATGTATTAGGAAAAATTCCACAACTGATTACGATTGTGTTTCACTTTGTATTCATACACCACTTGCTTGTGGGACTAATAGTTGTAGGAAAATGTGTAAATACATTTATTTTATGTACTTACATTAGTGTTTTATAAGGAATTTATTAAATGGTTATATATTTCCTATTAAAGCTGATGTGCCGATGGCTGAAAAACTCGCCTCCTCATATTTGCGGTCAGCCTCCTCAGCAATGTGCTTGGCCTCTTTCAGCTGGATCTCCTGCAGCTCCATCTTCTCCTCGTCCTTCATGGCCCTGTTCTCAATGACCTTCATGCCTCTGTGTGAGGGAGCAACCGTGTCGACGGACGTTAGAGAATCAGGAGCCGACAGCCAACAGGGACACAAAGGTCCAGTGCACAGTGGTGTCGGCTGCTAGATCTCAAACAACGTCCTTCTCAAGTGGAGGACTCATTGTTTCCTGACGCGACAATGGGACGAAATGCTGAATTTGGGGACGTTAAGCGACGACGTCACTATCTGACACGGCACAAGAAACCCACCTCTCGCTCTCATCAGCGGCCTTCTCAGCCTCCTCCAGCTTGGTCAGGGCCGTGGCCAGACGCTCCTGAGCGCGATCCAACTCCTCCTCAACCAGCTGGATGCGTCTGTTAAGGGAGGCGACATCGGGACTCGGCCTGGGAGGGGGGGAGAGAAGAGGAGCAAGTGAGTGGACGTCTAGTGGCGCGGCGTCTTCAACAAACAGCATGGAAATTAGGAACAGGTGAGCCCAAAGACGGTAGGATAAGTGGTGGAGTTGTGTTTTTTTGTTTCATGCCAGGTGGGTGACTGCAATCACCGTGGAGCTAAAGTGTTTCTGAAGGCAACCTTGCATTGGGAAGGAGCTGGGGGGCCTCCTTGTCCCAGTGCTCCTAATTGACTAGAACAACCACGTCTCAGGGGTCATTACTCGACCCCTGAGAGAACATTAAGGTTCAACTCAAAGCCAGACAATTAAAACTGCATATGAGTGCTCTCAGGGAACACACAGGGGGGGGGTCCCTGGATAGACAACAACCGTAGGGGACATTTAAAATGCACCGATCACATGTCGACCCAACGGGGCCCCCACAATCATTCAAACCTGCAACTTCACTTCTGCCAACGTGCATCTGATGGTTGCGAAGGAAGGAGGAAGTGGCGATAACCCCGAAGCAATGCTTCCATCTCCCTTCAAACGATCGACGTGGAGCCCAAGCTCACACCGCTGTAAGACGTATTTCCCGTCGAGGTAACTGCCGCTATGTGGGGGGGGTCGGAGACGGGCGGGGGGGGATCACACTTCCTGTGCACACCTATTGTCCGTATAAGGGCATGTCAAAGAGCGCAAACTCTCAGCGCACCTTGCATGTTGCCCACGGAGTATTTATTCTACTTCCTGGTTGCTGACAAATGATTTATCCGAACGTGTAACTTGCGTCTGGCGCGCCAGCGGAAGCGAACAGACGGAATTCCCCGCAGAGCAGGTTGAACGAGGAGCGGGGCGCGCAAAGTGCCTCGAAGGAGGCGCAAGTGAAAGCGATTATGAGGCAACGCGCTGACGCAGTGTTTTAAAAAAGAAAAGAAAAGTAATATTGCGGAGGGTGGGCTAAAGGTTACCAATTATAGACGCTTAATTAGCCGAGAACAGAAGGCTACCGAGCGGGTAAAAAGCTCGCATCCTGCGGGGCCGCGGTGCGTCATCAGAAACCCCGCTATATCTCCGCAGGAACGAACCCGCGCAGAAAGGGGCTATAAGAGCAGCGTGTGATACGGCGTTTTAATAAGCAGCTCCTCTCTGTCTGCATAACCAAAAAAAAAAAGCCGACACAAACCTATGGATGCTTACTTGTTCCCTGGCTGCTCTCTGCGCGAGCAAGTCCTTCTGCAGCGCCTCGGCTCTCTCTTCAGCACCGTCCGCCTGCTCTTGTAAGAATTTGATCTTTCGTTTGACGGCCTCGAGCGACGTAGCTCCGGCCATTGTTTACAAGGAATTGCCTTAGGAAGGGTTTCTAGTCTGCGCTCTGAGCCGCAGCGCGAATTTCCGAGTCGCGGGAAGGGGTCGAGGTGACGTCTTTGATTGCGCTGAAAGGCGCGTGCAGAGCATTCTGAGACGCTGTCTGCGAGACGCTGCCCGTCAGTTGTCCAGGAAGTACCGCTAAGAAAAAAATAAAAATGGACCCGAAAATGAACTATTATGACTTCCAGTGCAAAGATTGACCCTCTGCAGTTATGCCTTATGAAATAATAAAATTGGAAATTTAATTGATGCAAAGTAACGATGTATTTTGTAGGACCAGAACGCACCCAGTAGTTCCAATGTAATTAGCTCGCTCGGTCTAACGGAGCAGCAGCGCCATCTGCTGGTCAACTGTGTGTGGTGCAAGTGGCGGTAAAATACTTTCACCGACCACAGGCCGTTCAGTAAGTTGTCCCTGAATATCTGTGGTCAATACCACAGAAAGCCCTTCGTGAATATTAAAGTGGAAAGGAAACAAGGTTTTAAAACACTCGTTCAACTCGTATTTTACAATAAATATCATGAAAAAAAAGAAACACATGGTGCTAAATACGGCATCAAGTGTGACATGGGAGGCTAAAACTCACCTGACTGTAAAGTAGTCACAGTAATAGTCACAATAAGGCGTAACTCCCCACGGGGAATCCAATTAAAGGCTTGTTTTTTATCACTTCTAAACCACACTCCCAAGTTATTTCCCCTCAATGACTCTTGTGACCAAAGTATCTGCTGCACGCGCGGCCACTATAACTAATGTGGGCATTCCGGGTTTCCAAAGAGTGCGGAAAAACAAGTGTTTCTGGGACCTTTTGGAGGGGCAATAAATCATTGACATGGTTTGGTTTTCAGGTATCAATCCGAGGGGAATTTTTTTTAAAACCGCCTTTTCCCTTTTGGAGGGCCCCCCCCCCCCCCCCCGCGCTGCCCCTCCTCCCTGCGGTCAGCAGAGCGCGCGGCCCGCAGCATGAGCTCCATCTTGACCATATAAAGCGGTAGGGCTATATTTATCCAGGCCGATGGCTCCCTGCGCGCTTCAGGACGCCTTCCTGTCCACTCTGAAAAACACTCAATTCTTCCTTAAGACTGCACGAAAGAACCCTCCCGAGACCGTGAGCACACGACGACCCGAACTATGGGTATCGATCCCACCGAGCCACCCTACGGATTCATTGGATGGGAAGTGCACAATAGGTGTTGCAGTAAAACAGCCAATCTGACTTTCTTTGGGCAGACTTGTGAGTGATTGTGCATGTGCTCCTTTAAATAGCTCAACAAGGTGTGTGTGTGTGTGGGGGGGTCCCGGTGAAGAAAGTGAAGTCGTGAAGAAGCGTGTGGTGGGAATGGTGCCGTCGTGAAGCCCCCTTCCTTACTTACATCAGCGGCTTTCTTCTCAGCCAGCTCAAGCTTCTCCTGGGCGTCCTTAAGAGCCTCGGAGTACTTGTCCAACTCATCCTCAGTTCCCTTCAGCTTCTTCTGCAGAGCTACCAAATCGTCCTCCAGCTGAAGTGGGGGGGTTTCAGTGGCCGAGCGGTTTCAGAGGTGATCAGCGAGCAGATGCGTGAACGCGCACAGGCGCAACAAGAGCGCGCACAGAGGGACGCACAGGACAGGACACCCAGAAGACAGGAGACAGGGAAGAGAGAAGAAGATTTAGGGAAGCTCATGCATGTCGGCATCGTGTACCTTGGTGGCGACTTCTTCAGCGGTCAGGAACTTTTCCTCAGCGGTTTGGAACTCCTCAAACACTTTATCTCGTTCGTCTTCAGAAACACGCAATTTCTTTTCCAACTCTCTTATATCGTCCTCTAACTATACATGCACATTAAAAACACACACACATCAGGAAGTTAAAAAAGCAATAACAATATTAGCATGCAATTATTGAATTATTTTGATCTCAATCTAATAAATTAGCGACATCATTTTGGGGAGATGTTTGCATCCGCCAAAAACTGTTGCTGGTTGGAGGATTTAAAGGATCCAGAAATTCAAGAAGGATCGATTATTCCTAATTTAACGATGGTCCTAATTTGGGATTATCCTTAAACGTAATGGATCCATAGCTGCTTTAAACTGCTCCTGCTGTTCCTGCTACTTTCTATGGATCTTATGAATTTTGCGCAAAAAAAAAAAAACCATCAGCCGACCTGCTTGCTTCTGTCCTCTGCCGCTTTCTTGTCTCCCTCAGCCTGCTCAGCTCTGTCCAAGGCATTCTCCTTGTCGAGCTTGAGCATCTGCATCTTCTTCTTGATGGCGTCCATGGCTGCTTATTGTCTGTTCTGCACCAACAAAACGTCCAAATTGGGGGTAAAAAAGAAAGCAAGGAGGGAGCGGGACAGCGGCTGGGGCGTCTGCTCCTGACTGGACACTAAGCTGGAGTACAGGCTATGCCTGACTGTGCCCTGTCAAATATGTACTTTCAACGGGGGGGTGACTGCATTCTTTTGGACATCCAATACTTTTTTGGAGGGGGGGCGTGTGCGGGTGCCCGTGCGTTTCTTCAAGGCTCTGCTCTGCGATTGGTCGCCTCCCGAGCGTTGGACTTTTGCTACGCCTTTATATGGGGTGTGATGGAGAATCAGGCGGCTCCCACGCAAAGGCTCCCCGATGCAACGCTGCAGAAGCCGTTTAATGCACGGGACAAGATGAGCGCAACATAAAGATCTCTGCGCGATATTTGCTTTTTACCAACCGCGGCAACACATTTGAAGGCAGCGTGTGGTGTTTGTTGTCTTTGTTGAGTGACTTTTGAGGTGTTGACATTTCTACTGAATTACTGGACGATGGAATAATACATGGTGTTCATGTGAATGATCTTCCAGGCTGAGTGGGAACAGTTTACCTGGCTTTTGTCAACTTTTAGGCACTGTTAAATAGTGTGTGTGTTTGTTTGGGGGGGGGGGGGGGGGGGGGGTGAGGGCAAGTGTGTTAACACAAGACAAGTGTGCCGTTTGAGAGGGAAGAGATGCTTCCGATAAGCCCAGCGAGCCCCAGTGGCATTGTTCACAGTCTGGGAAGTGTTTACCTGATGATGTATCAGATATCCTCCCTGAAACTGTTGATGAGTTATTTGACGGCGGCCAGGAGGACTTTTGTACCTCAATTCCAGCAGCGGAGCCGCTAATTGACTTGGCATTTCAGAAATGTATACTGTAAAGTGCAGAGGAGGGATATTTTAGCGTACATGTAGCACATTTATTAGAAGTTTTACATCTTTATGGGAATGCATGTGTCGCATTATAGTCAGATGTGATACTCTATTATTACAATTTATACGTAATTGAACGTATAGTTTATATTATACGTAATTGAACGTATAGTTCACTATTTGAACATGAGCCAATTTGAAAGACATTAAAGAAATGCACTTATCTTATGAAACACACAACTGCAGTGACTGAGGACACACCAAGTGTCTTCTAGTCTTCTAAAGAACCCTCAGGGATATATTTAGGATCTCCTTCTCTTTCTTGCACCTGCCTTCGTCTGTAATATGGATCCAGGACTCTGTGCCAAGAAGGCACGGTCCAGTGCTAAAACATATGTTTCTTAAAATAATCCCTGTCTCCTTCAGGTTTTGGTCTGTTTTACAGATTACTATTGCTATTTGTCTGGCTGACTTTTAGTTGTAAAAGTCAAACAATTTTAGTTAACGTGTTTACAATTTTCTCATTAAATTGGCTTGAATTTAGACACCGGCCTTGTCTTGGACATTGAGTGAACCGCTAATTAGTACAAACACTATTTAGTTCATCTTGGACCAGCCCGCGTTATAATAGACTGTCAATTTAATAATTGTAATTAGCATTGAAAAGTACTGTTGACAGATCAGGCTTATTTCTGTCAGCTTTTCTCTTTCACCCGGAAGAAAATTGGTGGATGAATGTGATTTTTGGATCACAAGGTCTTTTCCCTTTCTAACTTTCTATGAGTGAAAATAAAATTCTAAATGTATAGAACTTGTAGCTTGATGCTGCACAGAAACGGCTCAGAATATGCCAAGATAATACCTTGCTTACCAATATAAGTAATTGACTTCATTTAATGTAGCGAGAGTGCTGTTTACTGTACTTTAAACATTTAAATGTGAGATACGCTGCCTTAAATAGTTCTGAATCTTTCTATCTGATACTGTGTGCATATAGTACTTTATGCTGTTGTCACATCAAACATCTTCAGCATCACTAGTCTTCATCAATGTGCTTACACTGTTGACAGAAAGCGGGATTCGTAATGAGATCTTAGTTATCTCAAACAGCCTTTTCACGTCAGGGACTCCGGGGAGGTTTGCGATGCGCATGGATTTGCTGTGGCATTCTGGGAATGAAAATAAGCTCCATTATGATGCTTCCTTTAACGTGCGGGTGGCAGAGTACAAATAGCACAGGTTCAAATACCTTTGCTGTGATTAAAGTAATCTCAAATCTCGGTCCAGACATTATTGAAAAACTACTACATTCTGAGTTATATTGGAAAATAAAAGGCACTTTAAGTTAAGATGGAGCAAAAGTACATAAAGAAATCTTGCTCACTCACATTCTAGGTAATGAGAACAGCAGAAACAAAGTCTTCAGTATTTCAGGCTGTGGTCGGGTTCCAAGGAGTTTCTGTTCCGTGGCTGCTTAAGTGAAAACAATCTCCACACATATAATTTTGTGCTCTCTGAAAAAAGATCTGCTGCTCAAGGCCTCCAAAGCCTCCAACCAGAGGAGCTGATGAAAGCATCTGAAAAACATGGAACCCTTTGTATCATATGCATGTTATAGCATTTGAGCTCTTACTGAAACTAATATGGAAGGAGTTGTGCACTAGTACATGTTTGTCATTTAACTCTGTATTTTCCTCTGTCCCAAGTATTTAATGTCGTGTTATTATTATTCTCTTTAAAAGGCTGTCTGTCATGAAAAGATTTGCACCGGCTCATTTAAAAAGCTAAGAATTGTCTGGCCGGTCATCCACAGAGGCAGCGACAGCTGAGAGGACGTAGTGTCGCCTTACTGAACGAGGAATTAATCACCCGCTGTGCACTTCATGTAAAAGCAGACAACAATTCCGATCTGAGCTCAAGTCTAAGAAGAAAGTACTTACAGCGATATAATAAGCAAATCAAATCAGCCAAATTTTACATGGATATTAAGAGGAATCAACAACTGAGGTGTGAGAGACAGACTTTCCGCTCTGCTGCCTTGTGGTCTTGACGTGGTGGTGCAGTTTGTCCTTTTGCCAATGGAAGTGACACAACGGCTTTCCCAGAGCTTTAATACTAATACTGTAACCCTGTCATAGTTAATCTGTTAGGCCGACAGTGACAACCCACTATGCGTAAGGAATGTCCAGTTCACCTCGCTGCCCAGGGAGGAGCTCGGCTGTTGTGTTTGCATTAGACGTCCCCCTTTGAGACCCCTTGTCTGAAGGCCAAAATGCCACCACAATGGAGACGGTGTGTCTGTCACAATACCTGTCAGATTGGTTGTTTTTTTTAGGTGTTGGTGGCTCCTTACTAAAACGACATAATCGAATGTGGAGCTGGCGGCATTCTGACACGTTAGAGGCTGCTTTCTAATGACGGTGACGGACACTGAGGAGCTCTGACGGCGGCGGTCCCTCCGCGCTGTGAGCGGCCCGCGAGCCTCTGAGCAGCACACAGCCTGGCCGTCAAATGCCATCCCAGGATTTCTGCAGACATCGCCCAGATATATATATAGAAACAACTCCTTGGCCCTTACAGACGTACCCCTGGAATTAGATAGCTCCATGCAGGGGCATGATCATTTAGCATAGCGAAAGCAAAGAGAGAGGGCGCAACCTGAGCTGTAACCCAAGCCCAGTCCACGGCCCAGTGTCGCTGGGTTTAGTCCCAGTTATGTTCCTCTGACATATACTGCTTGTACGTCGCAAACTGGTGCACAGGTGGGAATACATCCACAACCACGATACAGGAACCGCCACAGTGTTCCACTTGATGGAGAGTTGCAATAAATCAAGTGTAAATCAAGCAACAAATGATCCCGCAGTAAGATGTAATTCTGTTCAGACTGTATTTGAGAGAGCGCATAAAAAAATACTTCACAGTTTGTACCGTGGACATGCTTAATAATGTTAGTCATACTCCTGAGGTATGAAGGTCAAATATTTTAGTTGCAGGTGCTCCATCCAACCGTAGAACAAGTAGCCGCTGTTAAATGAAAGGATCAGTCATCTCGGTGATACAAATCCTGCAGGAATGGGGCGCAACATTTCTTTGTCTCATATTGTTAGAAATCTCCACGATTGGGCTTATTTGTTTTTTACAGATGCATTAGTCCAAGTTTGCAGAAAAAGCCTCAGTGGCGCAATGCAAGAAGCTGCGACTCATTGAGAGAAAGCAAAAAAGGTCTTTGGTGTAAAAAAATACCCCAAATGAAGGCTTCCAGCTCCGCAAACACAAATGTGGGAAAAAGTCATAATGGAGGAAAATTTGTGGCCTCGGCAGGACTGTTTGTTTGTGTTCTTCCTCTACAGATGGAGACACACACAGAGGCAGGAATGCGAGGCATATCTGATGCTGCTCCGTCAGCTTACACTCAAAAAGGGGAGGAGAGAAAGCGTTCGGGGGGAAATGTCATGACTCATTTCAGACTCATGCAAGAAGCTACGCTAGAATTATTTGGTTAAATTAAACTGTCCAAAAGGTTAGAGATGTCATAGCAGGAATACTGGATGGAAATCTTTCTGACATCCTGGAATACAAATCTGCCTTTGATTTAGGAAAACTACCCTTTTTGGCCCTTCTGTTGTGTTTGTTGTACACACTAAAGGGAACGAAGGGAGTAACTGTTTGTTTACAGGCAGCTTTATCTTCTCCTAGTTCCACATTACGGATTCCTTCCACAGCGCAGCAGTTTGCTCACATATTCTTCCTCTAAGGAATCAGAGGATGTTAAAAATTCTATTTAAGATGTTGACTTAAATGCTCACCGTCCTCTGTTTTGTGTTTGTTGATTTCCTCCAACAGCACAACGGTTGTTGCTTTCTCTCCCACAGCTGCCCAGCATCTTGTTTATTGTCTCCTTTAAATATTTGCCTTCAATCTTTTGCCCCTCATGTCACAGGGCTACAAGTGTGTGTGTGTGTGTGTGTGTGTGTGTGTGTGTGTGTGTGTGTGTGTGTGTGTGTGTGTTTGCACACAGAGGGGGAATCTTTGATATATGTGTCCATATATGGGCCCTCTGCTGTTAGCGGGGCAGAGCAAGCAGAGCAGAGGGCTTTTTGTGAGGTCCAAAGACTCACTCGATATTTATTTCCATTCCACAGGGCTATAAAACTTCTTGGTATGCACCTCCAGCTCAGCCACCGTTACAGTCGCGCCTGTCAGAACCCGCCGCTGCAGATCAACTAAACAATGGCAAGAGAAGCAG